GGACCAGCACCAGGTGAGGTGGCCACTCAATTGGACGTAACCGAAGCCAAATCGCCAAACAAACAAAGCACTGCAATTCCCAACTTTAGGTCAGGCTTATTTTAAGTTCACTTAAAGCAACGACTAGCGTTAAAAAGACTCAGAAAAATGGCAAAGCACTTTACTCCAATCATACACAGGCTATATTTCGATGTGGGCAATTAAAGTTTAATTCTTTTCACATGAATGCCTTCTGATTACAATCGCCGGTAGTTCAAAACAAGTCAATAGCCTGGCTCTTCAGTTTGATAAAGAAACATAAATTTATTTACCATGAACGAGTCAATCTATAAGGTTTAATCAAAGTTTTGCATTTTTAAAGCCTTGCAGGATTTTATCCCTTTAATTAAGATTATCGCCTAATTTAAATTAGCATAAAACTGCATCTCATTAATAAGCTAAACTCAATTATCAACTAACTTAACTTCGGTTCTTTTTATTGTCTACGTCATAGGTTATCGATCTAAATTCGAATTGGCGAATTAACTGTCAAATAATATGCCTGGTCGCGTAGTTGAATTCGATTCTGATTGGTGGATTTTCACCTGCCGGTTCAAGGAAGTCCTATAAATAATGCAGAGGCGGACGCTACACGATTTTATTAAGCCAATCCAAGTCGTCAAAAAGGGTAAGTTATTGCAGCAGTAGTTCTTGCCAGAACGAATTCCATAATGCAAATGGACCATCTTGGACGACATTTGGGCTTTCGATTGGCAGGGGCATTAGGAGGCGGAACATTCCGATGATTAAACATAAATGAAGGAGGCTGTGGGTTCCGGTCAACATTAACTAATCAGTCACTTGGTAAATTAGAACTTGAAGAAGGTATAAAGTGGTTATTAATTGTCTGGACGTGAGAGTGACAATCTACAAGACCTGGAATCATTTGGAATAACTAAAGAATTGCTCTAAATGTCTTTATATTTGCTGGAAAAATCCATTGGAAATTCTATAAGCCTATGAAAACGGTTTTAGTAGCAGCAAGACAGTCGATATCCCAGCTCTTAGGGGGGATCGTATAAGCACAAGATGGAACAAAAGTGGAGCAAGATATGAGACATTTCGTAACCTCTGCTACCATAAGCCTTGTGCTTTGTT